TGCATTAATAAAAAGTTGTGGTCAAAGATTTTTAATGTATGACATAAGAAGGGTCAGCAAATGTTTCTGCATTCCTCTCAGACATCTGTATAAGATAATGTTCAACAAATTTTTTTCACTGTATGAGTATAGGTGGGAATGCTAGTATTAACCCATTTTAAAGACTTTTTGTCAGAGGTGTCATGAAGGAAACACCCCCATGATATCACACTGTGAAAAGCTGGGATGGTTGTATCATAAAGGGAAATATTAGCCTGAAGATGAGCCTTGATTCTTGCCAGAGGAAACTGCAGCTAGTTGGGCAGACTGATTAGGGAAGAACATGGAATCATTGTTGATCTAGAAGCCATCACAGATCAGAAGAGAGACTAGAACTGGGCAAAGTGGTCTCATGTTCATTGGAGGTGTGTTGATTCAGTTGATAACAGGCTTGGCTTCCACAGTGTAGGGTCCAGAATTGAAATCAACCAAGTCAGCCATTCATTTTCAAGTGCAAGCCCCTGTATACTTGGGTAAAGACCCCTGAGCATGTAGCATCCATGTTTCTAGATGTGGAATGAAAAAAAACCTCAGTGCTGAAGGCTGAAACCAGGTAGTGAATTCCCAGATGAGGGGATGGGTCATTAGGGATGAGTTGAGTTTAAATCATGAACATGGAACTACAAAAGGGTTTAGAGGTAACTTGGTGTAATGTAAATAAAGAGGGGGGGAATCAGAATGGGGTTTTGGTATTAGGTGTAGTACATATGAGTAGGGCTTCTAATGCTGATCATGCATCATGCTCAACAAAGCAGAAAAACTCAAACATGAGGGTCATTCCCTATTATCAATGCCAGTACAAGAAGGAAGGGTCCACAATACTATCTAGGAACTGCTGAAATGTGAACAGTTGACAAGACTGAGTGTTCAGATCATCAGCATGATCATCAGCTTCAATACACAGGATGCAGACCATTTTCATCCCCAAGACATAAAAAACCAGACAGCTAGATCAAATGGAAGTGATATACATTAGTTAAAAAGGAACCATTATAAGTTTGCCCAGATAAAAACTCCAGCCAACCCAAACTCTTGCAAGCATTCCTCTATAACAAGAGGAACATGATTGCTCTTCTGGAGGCAAGGGATTGAGACATTTTTGCCTACCTCTTTTCTCCACTGGACCTGAGCCTGCGTATTCTCTGTTCCCTAGCATTAAATTGTCACTGACAGTCACATGAAAATCACTTAATTACTGTAGTTGTGGAATATTGGCACTCTCAAAAGAAGGGCTAAATGATTCATGGACCAATGAAACAATACAAAACATGCACTAAAATTGAGAGAGGAAATGTTGAATAGAAAGTGTTTAGGTTGGTTTTTTGTCAATGTGTTTCTTTTTAACCTTTCCACGTTTCCATGCTTGCTTCATTTTGAAATGGCCATTATTTATTGAATGACTCTCATATGACCTTGCTTTTAATCTTTTAAGTGGGTACAACATATATATCCATCATGGCAAAATGATCCCTGGATGGGTTTCCCATACATATGTCCTACAATTTTTTAAGTTTGAGTTAAATATGAACTCAAACCTCAAAATAAGAGAATAAACTCAATAAAGAGTAGTAAATTTCGGTAAACACAAGTAATTACTTTCACAAAAAAAGTAATCACTCCAGTGGTAGACTTCCGTCTGAGAAATTCCCCATTTAAGAAGCTGATCTAGAAAACTTGGCAACTGTCACCTCCATATAGTACTATTATTGATGAAAACTTTAGACCTCTATGCTGACCTTTCAACATATATGTATGTAAGCAAGCCTGTGTGGATCATTGTACCTCATAAAGCAGAGGATGGGTAGGAAGAGAAAGACACAGAGCAGAGACAGGAGAGAAGGCTTTACTTGCAAGCATAAAGCATCTTAACCCTTTCAGGCAAGTATATATAAATCTTGTCATAATTCAGCTTCCTGGAAAAACCTGTTTTTCCAGGAAACTGGATTACCAGAATATTAAATACATGAATGTGGTAATAATATATTACCTAAGAGAAAGCTCCACTACCTAAATAAGCCATCAAGAGGTTTCATCGCAAGTTAGAAAAGAATTGAAATGGTGGTTTCACAGTGAAATCACTTTACAGAAAGGGTTGAAGCAGCCTCTCCCTCCTGGTGACTTGAGAGTAGATAATGAGGGCTGGGACAAGATAAAGGTCTGGGAGGAGGACAGTGAACCTGATTCCAAAAATATCATTTTCTCACTTCATATATACTGAGCATCTTCACTTTACTATCAAGAATTAAGTCTAATGTGAGTCACTCAGTTCCATGGCATCGCCAAAGTAATGCTACTTCATTCTTTCCATCATGGAGATTCAAGGAAGACCACTTTTGTCTTGAAAAATGACCAAATTTTTAATAATATTACTGATTCAAAGAATTCAGGAGTCTTCTCTTCAAAACCTTCCATTCTGAATACTCGCATAACTTTTCTATTCCATCATTGGATGACAGGATATAGCATTGCTGGATTGTTCCCAATTGGTCCACTGGGACTGCACAAGAATCATTCTTGCTTTAAGCCAGGGCTTTGAACCAAAGCAAAACTAAAAGGATACGAATAGTAAAATTACCATTACTGATATATAGATGAACTTGCAAACCAAGACAACACTGAAAGGAGTAAAGCATTCTGACCTTTTCCTCATTACAGCAGTTTTTACATATTCATGCATTTTCTCTTTGAAGAAGCTTGTATGAAGTGAACCAGGAACAAAAAAGCAGCAAAAAAAAGCAGCAAGTGAAAAAGTAATACTACAGGAAAACCATTAGTGGTAAAATTAATGTTTTCTCCTAGCTTAATTTTTTTTGGTTCACAATGTGAACAAAAAAAAATTTAATGATACCATTATGAGACTATCTAAGAAGTACTGATCTTGAACAGCACTCTTTAGTGTGACATCAATAATAGTGCTTTGTCACTCAGCTGTGGGCATGACTGAAAGTCAAACATCATTCAGATTTCATCTTTACTACTGCAAATGAAGACGAGCTACTTTTGCAATCAGTTTTCTTTCTGTTTGCTTTGCAACAAGTCAGGTTACAGGTTCCAGGAAACTGATATATTCACTTCAATTTTCAATACAAGAATGGCCAAAAGGAATGACCGAATATAAAAGAGGAAACTGAAAAAAACTTCAACCAGTGAACAAAACAAAAAAAAGAACAGAAATGACTAGGAAAGGAATGTAACTGAAACTTGATGGTTATTCCATTCACTCTGAAGCCCTGAGTAGAAGGGATCGAAACTGCATATTAAATAAATTTTTGAGATAGTTACTGCCAATATATTTGAGACAATAATATTCCAAGTCTACAAGACATGGCAACTACTACTTACATTCATCACAGCTGAAAGAATTAATGAAAAAACTCTTCATCAGCTGTCATTTGATGATTGTATTTTCTCCAGGCACATTTTCCTCAAGAATGATTGGAAAAACAGGTTTTCTTTCTGCATGATTTTATTGCATGCAGTATACATAAAAAAAGCCAGATTTTTATTATTCCCTTATATTGGTGCTTTTCTTCAGGAAAGGAGCAAAACACAACTGGCTGAAACCATAAAGAACACTTTTTACTCTTCAGACATGTACTCAAAAAGTAGATATTAAAATTTTATTTAAAAATTGGTTTGCATCTGTGATTAGCCACCTGTAAAATATCTTAGAAAAGTTGAGGTCATTCTGTCCAATAGTTCTAAAATTAAAAACAAACAAAACATTTACTGAAACCAGCCATTTCCCCATTGTTCTGAGGTATTGGGATAAAAAGGTTAGCAGCCAAGGAACTCTTGAAAATGTGGGCTGCTAAGGGATGTTGCATAATTTCACTATATATCTTGAGCAGCGCACTCATAATCTTTACCTTCTTCATTCCATGGTTGTGATATGCTGAGGAACATCAATTGTTTGCCTTTTTTCATTTGTAATACTCTCCCATAAAACTTGAATACTGTACTGTGGAAACTGGAAATTCATAAGCCTGATTCAGACTCAGTTCATGCCATTTGCAAGTCCATAGATCACTTTACACTTTAGTCCAAAGATTCCATTTGAATCCATCTGATTCTTTTTTACCCAAAGCAGTTTCGATCCCCACTTCAGTAATAAAAATAATTAGATCCAGTGCATCAGAAAATCTCTGCATAAAATTAATAAATGCTGTGTAAGAACTATCAGATAATGGTGACTTGTGTGATAGATCTGTACAGAATCTTCTTGCACCACACTAGATCAGCACATCACAACTCCCTGAACCTTCAGAGTTCATCTGAAGACATCTTTCACGTAGAAATGGAACACAGGAGATGAAGGTGGTCAGGGAAAAGGCAAAGGTGAAGGACTCGCAAAAAGAGACGTCCCATACTAGAAGCATTTAGCGTGGGAATACCCTCACTGAGGGTTCTGATAAATACTGATGAAAACAGGACACAAATATTCCATGCTGGAAGAGTCACTTATAATCTGTTATGGTTAAAGGTGCTCTTTGGTAAATAAAAAAAAAAAAAACCTCATCAAAGGATGACAACATAGATAAACTGCCATGACTGGAGGCAGTAACTATTATCTCTCTTCAGTTAATGAAGACATAACCCTTCTAGATTTACCAATAATAACCTCATACACAATGCAACCAACAGCATCAGAAATTAAGTAGGAAAAACTCACATTCATCTTTGGTCTTATCATGTCTATAAGACAAAATTTGAAAACAGAATAAAGCTGTATATATGAAGAAATATCTGAGTCTTGAAAGAGTAAGTCATGATGATTGCAGCTTAGGCAACAACAAAAAAACCGGATATGTGAGGAGCATTTGTTGATGCTCAAGGACGCATGGCGCGTTGGAGAAACTTCTGTACTTCTGGACTTGGTGCGATGGGTCGTTTATGCCATGCGTCTCTCTCAGCAATAGCAGTAAGGCCATCCCGCAACTCAGTGACTTCCTTCCACATACCATAAACCTTCTGTTCAAGATATTCTCCCACCGTATGACTATCAAAATACAGACTCAGAGTGCTGTGCAAAATTTGTGCTGTCCCTTCGACTTCACTGACCAAAGAGTCCACTTGCCACTTCACTTCATTTATCCGCATGGGTCTGAAAAAGAAATGTAAAAAATAAGATTCCTGCTTTAAAGAATGATTTCAATGACACAAGGATGCAGGGTTTCCCACAAAAACTCAATGAAGCTAGCTCCTTACCCATCAATGCAAGCAGGACTTGCACAAAGGGGGAGGGAATAGGAGGTAGTGACAATTTAATGATTAAGAAGGAAGGGGATGAAGACTATTCAGATGAATGGGGAAGGAGCAACAGCATTTGGACAATCTAAAGCATAGGAATTCAGGTGGTTCTATGTACTTGCTTCATGAAAAAAAAGGACAGGGGTCATTCTGCTCCATGAAGAAAATATGAAAGACTTATGAGCAGAGTGGTGCCTCCCTCCATTTGAAACAAAAAATGTTAAAAGTACAAAAGGCAATAAGCAGAGGATTGGCTGTGAGATAAAGGATTGCTGTGCGAGGGACAAATTTTGCCAGTGTCCAGGTTGCCTGCTTTGAGAGAAACCCTGCTATGGATCAACAGCAAAACTTGCATAGCATATTGGTACCCCACCTCAAGAGGGCCATTTGAGTACTTCTTCAAATTTTACATGAGAAAGAAAAATCTTCCTCAAAAATAAGATTTTCAAGTCTGATCAGCTCGAATGCCCTTTTGGAATCCCATAATTTCTAAATGGCAAAAGATAGGCAAATGTAGTTTTGGCAGGAAATACAGCTTGATAAGCCGAACTCAGTGATGCCAAAAACTCAATTTTTCTAAATATTTGCTCAGGTGCCCTTTTAATGGTCAGGTACTGATATATGCTATGAGCCTCCAACTTCACAAACTGCCATACAGTACTATAAAACTTGAAGTCCACTAATAAAAAATTCCTCACACATGGGCATCAAACTGAAATGTGGACAAATGATCAAATAATTAGCTTGCCAGTGATAAATTTTCTATCTGAGGAAAATAATGGCACACCTTTCAGGTTTCATTCTGTCTGAATGTTTTTGAGTTTCTCTCTAAGATCAAGGCTTAGAGACAATGAGTTCTGCACTCTTCAATTCCTGTGTCCTTAGGACTTAAAACACAATTTACAGGTAAAGGCTGGAATATGTGGAAAGGAATACTTAGTCAAGGAAAAAAAAGCAGTTATGCTTTGAACTAGACATATACACCAGATTAAATCAATTGCTGGTTAATTTCACTAAAGTGAAGAAAGATGTGATCAAGCAATGAGTAAATTTTACTAAGACAGACATAAAAAGGCATAACATTTCATGAACTAGCAGGACTTCTCCCATTTCAGAGAAAAATGGATATTCTAAACTGTATAAAAAAAAAGACACAAAATTACTCTACCAAGTGAAAATTCATTGTTGCTAGTATTGAATCCAGGTGTCCCTATGCATTGTTCAAGAGAGATGAGACACTGAATACTTGTTCAGGTCCAGGGGAGCAGATGAGGTTGACAAATACTTTACAGTGAAAAGCATAATACCTTGCTCTACCCTGCAGGACATCATGATCAATAACTCTTCATTGAGTGAGACAGTATCAATCATACAGATGTTCTGTCCCCCCCTAAGTGTTCACAACCATATGATGTACATGCTTCATTCGATAGGATGATGACTGATTGGACAACCTTTTCCCAGTATTCATTGCCTATCCATTACAGGAGCATTTAAACATTTTTTTCTCCCACTCAGATATACTTTCTGCCAATTGTTAGAGCTCAACCCTTAGCTGCATATAAGGAATCTGCAAGATTCAAAATCCTATTCTTTTTTGAGATTTCAGGAATGACAACCCTTGCTTCAAGATGGAGGAACAACACTGCAGGAATTGCTGTTTTACTAAGTAGCATCAAACTCACGCAGTAAAGTTGTTTCGTAGATTGTAATCAGTGTACCAGCCCTTCTTGCGCAGCTGTGACATCTGAAGCTCATATGAATCTTCCAGGGACTTCAACCGCCTGGTGGCTTTGTAGAATTCATGGCCAGGAAATCTACAAGTCACCAGCTCACCATACAAATTTTCATCACTGCAACATGAACCAATACACAAGCATTACTTCTATGTAAGTATGTCATGCACTCATTGACAATCAATAATTTATGGAATAGTATGAATATATACTTATAAATCAGATCTTTTTGAAAGTAGTTTCAGTTATTTTTATTCAGGCATCTCTATTTTTAGCTAACAATAAATTAAGTCAGTGATGAATGAATTCAGTGTTGACTTCAGCATCAGAATCATTGATTACTCCACTCAGTTCATTCTTATATGCCTTTCTATCTCCCACTCGGGCAGATTGCAATTTGGTGATGACGTAAATTTTAATACCATTTGCTGTTTCTTATTTAATTCCTTTACTATTGTAGACATTTTATTCAGTTTTCATAAGTGGCATGGTATTATATTTCACTCAGTTCCATTTCATGCTTGATTGCTGATGACATTGACTCAGGGACCTTTCCCCACAATTGGAGATGGAGAGAGAGGGACACTCATGAGATGATAAATCAGCTATGGGAAGATTCCCCACCTCCAGAAAAACTCCTCCAGTTCTTCCTTCCCCTACTTTTTGACATTCTGTTTCCAACCCTATACATGTACCTTCCTTCTCATCAGACATTCTTTTATGACACGTTACAAAACACAGAAAGGATTTCCCCTTTTGATCAGCCCCTCTAATTTTCTCACCTATTTACCTATTTCCCTCTGATCATGGACATCACAGAGATAATACTAACAGCAAATCTTTCCACATTCAATCCAGTGGAGGAAGATAACATAGACAAGGACAAGTCTGATGAATCTCCCCCTGAAAATCTAGCTCTCCTGAAGAATAGTCCTCCTTTCCGATATGAAAGCGTCACTCAACAAAATGGATGAGAAATAGAGCCCTTCCTCTTTCACAATCTACAAGATTAGAATGAGACTACAAACTAATAGACTCCAAGGCTGCCCCATGACAACATTGACTGCACATTGTTCACACAGACTGCAAACTAAAGTAAGAACAAAGCCCCATGTGGGGATCCATCAGGGCAGACTTAATAATTGTCATAATATTTATTTCCAGATCTCTAAGGTCACATCTTCCTTGGTCATCTCTTTTTTTTTCCTTATGTCTACTTTTCCCACCAGTGTACACACTGAAATACCAACTTTAAGTGTGTATCATACTAATTATTCCCAAAGTCAAGCAATTAATATTTTCTTTTCTTCTCAATCTCCAAATTCTGTCACACTGTTTTTTCAACCCAAACCCCAAGCAACAATCAATGTGTTATAAGGCCAGTATTCCTCTAACTTCCTTTTCCCCCTGTATAGCAATCAGCAACATCAGAATTTTCAATCACTGGATGGACTGTGCCTCTGCAGATTGTCTACAGAGACATGTCACAATGATTTTGAAATGATTTTATGCCTTTTCAAACTGGGAAGAAGAACCACAATGCAACTTATGAATGAGAAAATACAAACACTTCTTAAATATATTGGTTATAACAAAGACAGGCTAAATTCATCAAAACCTTGAATTAGCAAATTAAGCTTTTCCAAGAGGTGAATTCATTTTGGTAACTTGGCAACTTCATATTTTTCCAATTCTATATTAAATCAAAAAGAATCAGAATCTGTCAATATCATTAAAAGTAATAATAATAGCACGAAGAAGAAGAAGAAAGTGATGGGTAAAGGGAAAACACATGCCTCCAGGATTCAAACCAACACTGATTCCCACAGATGCACTTTGGCTAATTATGAGCACAATTATGAAGATTCCTATGTGACAATGAGATGCTGATGAGATTATTAAAACTGTAGCTTCTTAAAGTGAAGTTCCACAAAAGAGAGACCAGGAGTGGATAAACCATCCACTAGCATTGCACTAAATATTGATAAAAGACAGCTCTTGTAACATAAGATCACCTAATCCTTAGCTTCAAGTAAACTGTAGTTTGTATCTGGAGCTCCCTAGCAACAGACTACATTGCAGTGGGGCAGTCTTGGGATACTTTTCCTAAACCTGAAACTTACCTTTCCAAGGAAAAATGATCAGATACAGATGGAGAAGCACAGCTCAAGGCTTGCTTGGTTTTTTCAATCAAGCTGCGATCTCTCTTCCCTGATGTGAGTGCTAACAAGCTGAGTGCCAAAGATGGAATTCCAGCTGGAAGAAGTTCACATAGAACTGCAAAGTGGTCGTATCGCTGCCATCCTGTCAATACAATACCCTGAAACAGAAGCACAGACAAATCCAATGGGCATTACTCTACATGACATGATGATCCATTTGCAGGAAAAATGATTCTCTTATCCAAGAAAATTTGAAGCATCTAGACTATGCAGTATAATGAGTGAAAAGAAGACTTTAACCCTTCAAAATAATACCTCAGCTTATTCAAACTCTCAACTTATTCTACTCAATAAAAGTCAAGATAAACTTATAAAGTTGGATTCAAACAAAAAATAAATCAAGTACATGAGATAAAAGTTTGTGCAGTATGCACAGCACAAAGGGTACCTGAGAAACAAGGGAGCCCAACAGCTCAATTAGAAGATCAGCAGCAAGTATGAGTCCTGCTGGAATATCTGAAAGTTTTTTAAATTTCCAATGCATACCTTCACCATTGATAGCAAGAGTAAGAATCATGGAACCAGAGTTATTTGAGTGGATTTTCTTGATGGTAAGCAAACACAATGCATTTTGGCTCAAATTAATGCCCAAGACCAATTCATAAAATCAATTAACATGGATTTGTTGTACCTCATCAACCTAAGCAACTGGCCTTAAAATTGCCAATTACTTATCATATTTTTTGAAAAAGGCTCACTAACTTAAATAATGGAATCTACCTGGATGTAAGGGATATCAATCTTGCATAAAACACATATTACCTTCATAATTATCTATATATCCAAAGGATTTGTTTCTGCTCACCTTGAACTCATGAAACTTAGGAGACTCTCCATGGAAGACGTCAAGCCACATCAGGTTATTATCAAGATGTCTTCGTAATGGTGGAACAACTAGAGTCTCTCCAAAGGCTCCTTTGAATGTACTTGCACCCCAGACATTCTTAAAGGCTTGTGCATAAACATCCCAAGTAGTTGGAGGGACAAACCTGGATAAGGAAATACGATTGGATCAGAAACAAAAGCTATTATTAACCCTTTGACAAGTATGCCCATATATACGGGTTGAATGCCTTATGAACGGCATGCAGAATGATGCAGACATATATTAACAGGGAAGAGCATTGACCATCAATCTTTCTGAGAGTGCAAAGGGGGAAGGAGCTGGAAGCTTGAAGGGATACATAGACTTTTAGTGCAAGTGCATATCAATGCCCTTGCAATTTGCAACCCCACTGAAACTCGAATCCTGCTCAGAGAGTCAGTCATTGCAGAGTAAAGAACAAAGTCATAATCATTTCCAACTGCATATGAGAGCAGCACAGGATTAGACAAGCAACAGGGACCTGGGGTCCATGTGTCCCCCACAAGCACCAACATTGGACAAAAAAGCATAACAGGAGAACCAAAGTCAACTGTTCATAATATGTGAAGCTCTTTAACTTCATATAAGCTATACAATAAGCTTCATTATTTATTAAAGTCATGGTTGCTGAACTTAGTGGGCCTGCAAGCCCATGAAATAGGCCTAATAGAGAGACAATCAGAAATCTCACCTGTATACATCTTCAGCATACACCCACACCATTGGCTCGACCAAATCTCCAAGTTTATAAGCCTCAAAATCTATGGGAGACATCTGTCTAAGCATATCATCCCAGATAATGGGAATCACAGAATGTTTGTTCACAACATATTCAGCAACAAACTTCACATGCGACAGGAAAAGGTCATTCCTGGATTTCTGACGACAAACAGGGCATTCACCCATGTGAAACACTTCATCACAGCCAATATGCAAATGGGTTGGGTTGTACTTGGCATGAACTTTCATTGTTTGATCAATAACTTCCATGATAAGTTTCAAGGAGTCTTTCTTTGAAGGACACAGGGCTTGTGGGTCCTTAGGCAACTCTCTCAAAGCAGCAAACCTTTCCAACTTCAAGGCAAACTCCACATGACCAAAGGTCTGCACCAATGGAATGATTGTCAGGCCGAGACGAGTTGCAGCTTCCAGGATTGTATTAACTTCCTCCAGACTGTAATGATTGGGCGCTGACACAGATTTCAATTCTCCTTCATAAGGGAACATGTCCTCCCACTCCATGAGAATACCAGTAGCACCAAGACTTTTACTCAACTGAAGAACATTGATGATGAAGTCCACTTTTGGTGGGGCTCCCTTGAGGTCAAAATGGACTATAATCTGCTTTGAGAATATTTTACCAGGCTGATCAGGGACAGGTGACTTCACATCATTCTTGAAATGCAGCTGTTCTACCTTCCCTCCAAATCCTCCAACCTCCTGATTATTATGAGTCTCTTGCAAAGATAGAACATTGGCTTGCCTGGCTGAATCAGCTGCAAGCAAAGCAACATTTGCTGAAGAGTCCTGTACCTTTGCAGGCGGTATAAACTTCACTCTTGGAGCACCTTCATCCATTTTTTTCACATCAGCACTGGCTTCCAAATCAGAAACACTGTTATCAATGAACTTCACTCTTGGCTTATCTCCTCCTCTGGTTTCGCTCTGTAGTGCAGGTCTTGCTGCTTCACTCTCACCACCCAAGTATGACACACTAATGCCAGCCAAGAACAGAAAACCAACTACAAACCACAGAGACCTGGAACGTGGTCTATGAAACTTTCCCATTCTCCTCTTATTAAGTACCCATTTTCTTGACCTAAAAATTGAACAAAAAGCTCAAACAGAACACATAACTTCCTTGGTTGTAGGATGACATTTGGATGATGTTATGAAACATAGATATTTAGGTGGACACAGCAATTGGCAGGATTTCTGGACCTATTTCATGATCTATAAAAGAAAAACAAACAATAGGAAATTGAGTAAGGAGGAAACTCCAACAGAAAACTTTTCCTAGCTATGCTTTTGTTTTGTACCATCTTAAAAAAGATGGTACAAGAGTTGCTTCTAAAGCAACAAAGCACAGTGAGTGGATCAACATACAAACTCTAGCATTTATTCATCTGCTATATGCAGCTATTAGTGGTCATTTCTGCTATATTCTAACAACTACCTACACAAAAGCAATGAAAGAAATCTAAAATTGAATAAGGTTGAGTAATTCTGCCACTTCCATTTTGAAGCAGTTAGGATATAGGTGAATGACAAAAAAAAAAGCACTTATGCCATCAGTCTAGCAAGTCTTGTCACTTTTTCAATAGCTACAATACCAGAAGAAAGTCCTGTTTGGCACTTTAAAAAACTTACTGTTGTAGTGCTAACTTATCATAATTTTTATATCACAAAGAACACCCTATAAAATTTGTTCCCTGAAAGTTTTATCTCTAGGTTGTTTGGACAAAGAGCAACAGTCAATGAAACTTCTAAAAGAAAACTGCTTTTCCATGTATTGGGCAGCATTGGTTTCAGCAGTGCTCTATAAATGCATCTAACTTGCCACATAAAACCTGCTTTTTATGATTGCATTATTATCATCAAATATATACCAATGATCATGAAGCCTTTCAACATGATCTCAATAAATTATGAGTGGTCAAACAAATGGTGTCTGAAGTTTAAGCCAAATAGGAATGAAGGCTCTCCGGATTTGCAAATAGCAACATTCCTTGAGTGAACCCTACCATCTCAACAGCCCTTTGTTAGATGTGGAAGTGTGAAGCTTGGGCAGGTCCATAAATGAGAACTTGGATTGGGAAGAGTACATTAATGCCATTGGGGCAAAAGCCAACAAAGTCCCAACAAAGGTTCACTTAAATCCAATCTAAGTAATGCTTCCAAGGAAGACAGGGCAGCAGCATGTGTGTCCCTTGTCTGTCCAATTATGGAATAGATTCCTGAAGTGTGGAACCCATTTGAAGCAGGTGACAAGGAGAAGCTGGAAAAAGTTTAAAAGCAAGCTGCATGATTTGTGCTCAAAATAATTATATATAATAGGGCAAATAAGTCCAGTGCTCTCATGTATGCACTGGACTGGCAATCCTGGTTAATAGGTGCAAAAATGCCAGGCTGGCTCTGTTTTACATAATCATCCATGGCATACTGCTACTTGATGCTCAAAGATGTCTTACTGAAAATAACAGAATAAGGAATTATATGCAGAGCTGGTCTCTGCATCATTAATCATGAAAGAACTTTTGTTCAATCCATTATAATATAATGATTTCCATGTCTCATCATGTGTGCTCCACAGCACTGGAATACAGACCCTCATATTATTAAGACTCAATCAAGAAAAATATACCACACAAGCATGCAAATTTCTAATTTTTTTTGGTCATAGATCTTTTGCTTTCACCATAACAGTCTAGAACATAAGACTCATTAAGATAAAAGGATTTATTAGGCTTACAGAAAAAATAATTAATCAAATTCAATATTTTCCATACCATTGCATTCTCATAAATTAATGGATGTCACCAATACATGTGTTCCTTGACATTAGAGGTACAAACCAGGTATTTTATATCACTGGCTCTACAGTTCCATGCCCTTTTCCAAAATGACACATACTTGTCACAAAGTAAAAAAAATTTTTAAAAGCATTCTGGGAAACATGAAAGTATTCAGCTGGAAATACTTAAAAATTATATATAGATAAGATTCTTTAAATATTTTTTTCTCTTAAAAAAAAAAACTGAATTTTCTGAATACTGTATGTATTGCCTTGGTAAATCGTGCTAAAATCAAATGTCTTTTTCATAGATGGGTTTCAACAAACACACTATCTGCAATAGCTCAAACCCCAGAAAAACATATTTTTTCAAGAGTATAAAATTAAAAAAAACATTACAGTTGGTTAAGCACAGTTTTAATTCCCTTGAACAGCAGTGGACTGGAATGCTCTTCCCCCCCACAGTAAGACCCCAACTCACAGTAGAATTCTTTAGGAAATACTTATATGACCTATAACTACCTACCCTCCAGCCTGTTGTCACCTGCCGGTACTGCACTATTTTCCTGATCTACTCTTCATATTTCTTTCATTTCTGCCTGATACAGGACTATCAAACTCTCTCATTCAGGGTAAGTAGATTTGAAGGTGAGAGTAAAAAATACATACTGTGAAGAAGTATGCCGATATGAAAAAATCTAAATAATTTCTGCAGGAAGGCCTACAGAAGGCCCTATCAATTAAGAGGTAGATGTGTATATCACTTAGAATGTCAGAACTTTTCATTAAATTTTTATTAGTTTCAATTCATGTTCGTACCACCTGTGTCAAGGGAAATTGGCACTAGTACCTAGGAAGTACATTCTTCAACTTAAGCTTTTCAAGATGCTCAGGAGTCAGGAGAGTCAGGAGAGTTAGTGATATCAAGAACTAGTACCTACGTCAACATTGCCCCCCACCTTTTTGCCTGTCAAACTAACTTAACTTAACTTATGCTTAACTAATGATGATCCATCATCATCATCTGCTCTATGTTGATTGTGGGCATCTGCACTGTATGCACACAAGCTGATACCCTCATGATTTTACCCTCTAAATTTAGGATCTAGGCCTAGCTTAGCGTAGCAGAGTTACATTAGGGGGATATCTTTTACAAATCCCCTTCAATTCATTTTGTAGCACCAAATAAGAAATACAATTCAGTCTAAAAGCCAGAAAATGGAGTTAATGAATAGCCTAGACTTGTGCAGACGCACACATTGCTTCGCTCATGAAAATTCCTACTCAGGGTCAAAAACCCACAGCCATATTATCAGAGACATCGGGCCTCGCCCACATCCAGGCCTGGACGCAGCCATCTTGAAAAAGAAAACTCGAATCGACTCGCCAGTTAAGTCTAAACAGCTATGGGAAAATCCGTGGAGGCGCTTGGGAAGCCAGACAATCTGTATCCAACATGAAAGATCTCCGTTCATCCAGAAGTTTTATGGGGAGATAGAACTAATGTATATACTTCTTAGCATTCACTGTTTTTGGATTGAATTAGTAGCTCAATTCTTGCGCTTCCATCGATTGCAAGTAATGACACCTTTCACAAGGGTGGTTTTTTGGATTATATGATGAAGCAGATTCTCTAGTGCCTTATCCGTTCTCCACTACCCGGGGGAGGACGAACTCAATCCGAAAACAGTGTAGAAGCACCGAAGTATCAAGAGATTGGAGGAAGAAAGAACGTAATATTTCCACCACCTCAACGCTCATGGGCCGCGCCCGGTTGATGGTCGGGAAGGAGTGGAGGCAAGCCCATCCAGAGGGGGGGGGGGCATCAGGGACAATCTGCCCCCAGGCCTCGCGCATCAATGGAGCCTTCAATGAGACCCAATGCCAAGGTCACCAAAGGGCCCATCTAGCCATCCTCATCCGTACAGTGGCCTCCAGTTTAGTTTTGCCCTGACCTCTGGAAACCTCGGGGGGGGGGGGCCAAAGTGTAGGTGGGGAATGCTCAGAAAGACGAGGAATTTCTAATATACCTAACGGTTCTAACGAAGTCGATTTCAACTATAGGGGGTAGCTCGGGGTATAGCTGCACCCCTGATTCCCCGTTGGTGTTACTGAGGATGCGACACATGTGTACGCATCGAGTCATTTTCCCACAAAATGTTTTGATGGTCCCCTCAAATTTTCGAGTTCCTTCATTCACCGATCTGGTGCCATCCATGAATTCACTGGTTCACGGAAGAGTGTCCAGAAGAAACCCCAACTTTCGTTCCACGACTTTCCTTTTCACTAATTTTTAAAGGCTTTTTTTCCACGAAGTTTTGAGGGTGGGTTTGAGGCTAGCCACAGTCTGATGACCACAAAAAGGCGGCGATTAGAAATATCCAGCCGGCAGATCGCGTTGGTCTCTGGACGATGAAGACGATATTTCTCTTTAACCGCCGTGACTCGCTTTCCATCAGCCGGTATAACACCGGCACCTGGCAGAGTTGTCTCTGCCCACAACACGAAAATTAATAAATAAATAAACGGAAGGACGCACTGCACACCCGCACCGCACGCCACGCCGCGACGCACTGCAGCGGACGGAGGAGACTGGAGCTGGAAGGGAAAAACGACTGAATGGAGAGATCACTGACGAAGAGAATCGGGAGAGGGGGAGAAGACGAGCCAGGAGGAGCGACGAGGCCAAGAACGGTGCGATCCATGTATCGTCTATCAACGGGATACGTACATATGTGGAGGTCGCCAGACGCACGTGTAGCATACCGGGGAGGAGTCGAGAAAGCCCCGGGGGGGAAGGGGTGACACAGATGCCTCCGCCGAGCCCTGCCTCAAAACTTCACCCGAAGGAAAATCAGGCATAGGGAGAAAAAAAAAGACTCGACGAGCAGCAACGCAATCTCGAAAACGAATCGGCACGATTCGCGCGTCTTAGAATTGCTCGGCGTGCAGAACCCTCACCTTCGCACCCCTCACCTCAGCCGAAGCGGAACCGCGAATCCTCTCAGTCTCTGAATTCTGTTCTGCACCGTGGAGACACATTAAGAACTGGACGACGAGATTCGTTCACCTCGCCCTTGCTCCAAGTGCATGACGACCCGAAGGGAAGAAGAAAACGCATATGATTATGATGATTATGTCCAAGCGTTCGCGTGACGGACCATGTCCTCCTCACCTTCCCCCTTCCCCCGCAGTCAAGTGGCCTTGCTTCTCCGAC